GACTTTTGAGAATGTATGTGTGACTCAAAAGTCTGGAAGCGCACCCTCTGGACGGTGGACGGGGAGGCGAGGAGAGGAGGGGAGGGAGGAGAGAAGAAGCAGTGAGGAAGGGAAGGGAGGGGGGAGAGGGGTGTTGTAAAACAAGTGTGGGGCATGGGTTGTCCAGCCCTAGACTCGCCGCGAACTGCGCTGACGTCTGGAAACGCACCCTCTGGTGGCGCGTGCAGAGGGGGGATGAGGGAGGAGAGAGCAATTGACTTTTGAAAATGTACGTGTGACTCAAAAGTCTGGAAACACACCCTCTGGTGGCGCGTGCAAAAGGGGGATGACGGGGGCAGGTGAAGGAGGGGAGGGTGAGGGAGGGGGGAGAGGGGTGTTATGATAGCAAGAATAAGCATTGGGATGAGAGGAGCAGGTGGAGGAATGTCGAGCCCTAGACTCGCGGCGAACAGCGCTGACGTCTGGAAACGCACCAACCATTGAACCAGCCAACGGACCTTCAAGTTGCAGTCAAACGAGCCGCCGCGCCCGTGCTCCCCACAGACCACAGCCGGCCCAAGCCGAGAGAGGGAGGGGGGGGGCGAGGTTGGGGGAAAGAACGAGCCATCCATCCATCCGCTGCTGAACCAAATCAACCATCCAACCAACGGACCTTCAAGTTGCAGTCAAACGAGCCGCCAGTGCTCCCCTCGATTTCCAAGGCACTTGAGAGCTCTCGACACTGACCATCCACCCGACCATCCACCCGACCATCCACCCTACCATCCACTCTACCGACCTTCAAGTTGCAGTCAAACGAGCCGCCAGTGCTCCCCACAAACCACAGCCGCCCCAGGCGCCCCAGCCCATCCTTGAGCACCCACTGCAGCGCCGCCGCCGCCGGCACCGACCGCCGCGCACCCACTCCAACCGCTCTCAACAGCGACTGCGTCGCCATGACGTGCATGCATGAGCTGAGCGTCCTCTGAACGCCTTTCCACCGCATGTACTCCCAGTATCCCTCCGCCACGTCCCTTGGGAGCAACGCTGCACGCACTGCTTCCTCTACGGGAGCCCACACTTGTCTTTTCCATGCGTCGCTGCACCGCCTGAGCATGGCTGCTGGAGGGAAGCACGCCCTCATGCCCTCATCTTGGCTCTCTCTCCCTCGCTGCTGCTGCTGCTGCTGCTGTTGCTGCTGCTGCCTGTGTGTCTGGCTGCTTCTGAAGCGCCCATTGCCGTCGCCATCGCCGCCTGTGCTCCGTGTTGCCACCACGCATCTCGCCTCGCGAGCATCCCACGCCAGCTGCCGCTGCCGCTGCCCACACTTACTCTCCCATATCGGCAGCAGCTCCACTTTCTCCTCCTCCCACTTCTCCTTCTTCCCCTTCTCCCCCTTCATCCCCTCCTCCTCATACTGCTCATACTCTTTATAGTCCTGCTCTTCTTTCCCCTTAGCAGCCGCCACGTCATTTCTTGAGTTATTTATCCCTGCATCCCTTGCTTTCTCGTCCGCACCTGCCCTTTTCCAGCCCGTGCCGTTCCGAACCTGCTCATGCCGAACCTGCGTTTTCCGAGCCTTCCCTCTCCAAGCCTGGCCCGGCCAAACCAGGCGACGATCTTTCCAAACCCAAGAAATTAGCCTCGGGACAGAGGCTCGGTACTCCACTGCTGCTGCCGAAGCTGTTACAGACGCCATTGCTACTGCTGGTACGGCTGCTACAGCTGCCATAGCTGGTGCTACTGGCGTAGTTGGCATCACAGCAGCAGCAGCAGCTGCTGTTAATGATCGTGCCAATCCTATCAATGCTCTCCCCTGTGCATGAGAGTCTAAATCCAACTCTCCTCCCGTTCCCCAAACGTCCGTCTCCCAAAGCTTCCCAACCCCATCCGCCTTCCCACCACCCCCTCCTCCTCTACCTCGTCTCCCCCTGCTTACAATCAACACCCTGCTTGTCCCATCCCCCGCGCCCAAAATCTCAAACTCCCCGCACCTCAGAGCCTCCGCAACCTTAAACCCGCTTCTTGCTCCTTTCTTTCCTCGTTGCGTTTGAGATTTTTCGAAAGCAACGTCCTCGTTCAACCGCTCTTCTCCTGTCCGTCCCTCTCCTCCCGGCCTCTCTCCCGTCTTATCCACCAACCCCCCATTAAAGCCTCCGTCAACTGCGGGCGTTGGCCCGTCAAACCCAACGCTCAGCGCGAGCCGCCCGAAACCCAGCAACGCCAACTCGCGGCGCGGCGCACCGCCGTCCTCCTTTTCCTCATTCGCCGCCGCGGCTCCCCCAACGTCTCTCCCGCCCATCCCCTCCCTAAACACGCCTTGACGGCAGCACGACTCACAAAGCTGATTTGTCGCATGCACTCCCCGCCACCCGTGACACTCGCACTCGGGAGTAGTGCTACTAGCGTTTCGAGGGCTAATTTGATTCCCAAAACGGTCTCTTAATCTTCTCCTATTCCGAAACGCTCGTCCGCCTAAATTCTGCGCTCCTGGTGTAGCTGGGAATTCCTCGCTTGGCGCGGGGGGGAATTCTCCGCGTAGTGCGCAATTGCGCTCCCTGAGAAGCGCGGACGGGGCACCGCCTCCGGGTGCGCTGTGGCGCACAATTTCCCCCGCGACCGGGAAACTCGGCGGCGATACGGAAAAAACAACCGCGGGTTCGGCAATTCCGCTTCCGATAGCGGCGGAAAGTGCGGGCGCGGAAAAGAGGGCGGTGCTTTGGAGCCGTTGAAACTGCTGGAAGTGCGCGGCGGTTGCGGCGAAAAGCGAGGGAAGGAGAGTGAGGGGCGAGGGGGATTCTTTCCCGGGTAAAGTGAATTCACGCACCTTCGAGTCAGCAACAGGAGAAAGCGGTTTGCGCATCGACTCACTTGCCAGTTGCGATAATGGTCGCGACGCTAATCGAAGCTGGGTGGAATTAATACTGGACGAGGATGGCATAACGATGTTTCCGTTCTGAAACTAACGAGGACGGAGCACAGGCAACGCCACTTTCGCAAAAAGACGTTTAATAAGGAATGCTTGACAAGTCGCCAAGATATTGGGAGTGCGCTAGCCTGCTTCCATCGCCTACAGGAGATTTATGAATTACAAGATTAGACCGCAAGTTACCATTGACTCCGGGAGCTGGGTAGTGGTGGGTGGGAGAGACTGATGAGAGCAGCAGGGCTCGTTTGGTTGAGGCAGAAAGGGGAAAGGGAAGGGGAGCGGCCTTGGGTTGCGGTTGCGGTGTGTCTCTCGTCTTTTGTTTGAATGTGTGGTGGTGAGGTGAGTGATGGTTAAAGGTTAAAGGAGGGGGGGAAACCCCTCTGGGTGTTAAAGCGACGGTGCACATTTGCCACCCAAAACCCAGAACCCTGGCGAACTGTTACTGCAGATGAAAAGTGTCTGCACGAAATCCTGGTTTTCGCCAGCCAACACTTTCGCGCTGGCAAGCCTGGTTCAAAAAAAAAACTTCTGAACCCAACACTGCCAAAAGTTGCCCGTCGCTTTAAAGCCGGCAGCCCAAATTGCACAAGTTTTAAAAGGTTGACGCGAGGGGGTTTTTGACGCGAGGGGGTTTTGGCGAAAGATTCCGATTTCGCTTTTTTCGTTTTTTTCGCCAAACCCAGCCCGCCCTCGTATTTCGCCCTGGGGGTTGGTTCAGTTCCCAAAAGTCCCAAATTGCAGGCACGCTTTTCTTCAAACCTTGAAAACACTAGTTCGTCAAGTTTTAAAAGCTTGACCCGCGCGGCCCGCAATTTGGGACTCGGGCTTTAACCACACCTGGCTGTCGGTCGTAACCCGCCTCCCCATTTGTTTACACTCCTCGCTGGGTCAACGAGGTTGTTCTATCCACTCCCAGATGAGCACCTGTGTAACCCCCTTCTGGGGGGCTGGCAGAACACGCCGCAGGGGGGATTTGATCCCGGGACCTCATCTTTCGGAAGTGAACCAGCTAACTAGCTGGGCCACTTCAGGATCAGGTGAGGTGAGTGATGAGCGCGCTCCGAAAGAGATGGCGGACCAAGAAGTCCTTTCTTGCTGACGCCTCGGTTCGGGGCTTTTCTTGGTTCGTTTTAATCACACCAGTCGCAGACCGAAACACTTTTAGCGCATATGCAACCGAACAAGGCAGTCCATTATCGAGTGGCCTGCTAAGCGTTCTAGTTTTGACCGCTAGTCACAACTCACCACCAGCCATCCCCCGGAGATAGGCCCACGTGTACTTGCTGCATGAGCATGTTCTCCTGCTTCGCACTTACCGCAGGTCCGCTCCGCAGTGCAGCCCAGCGAGATGACCTGCCCCGATCGATCCTGCGCAGGTTCGAATTTTGATTCGGTTTAAAAAGTTTTAGAACAAATTCACATCCACCACCAGGGATTTCAGTGCGGTGGACGATCGATATTCCCCAACTTTGCACGATCGATCGAGGGAGGTGACGCGTCCTGAGGCGGGTGGGTGGGGGTGACACTTGCTTGTTCCGTTAAAGTATCACTACGTTGGCCTTTACGTTGGGGTCTTACATTTCCCATCGCATATGGATACTTTCAGGTGAGTTGAATGGGTGGGATCAATCAATACCCAAACAAAGGGACAAGGCATTTTCCACTATTTTAGCCTTCCATCTAATTCTCTTATCACGAACCAGACAGGCAGATATTCAGACTAATTTATCCGTGGAGTAATTCTGATGTGAATTTCACACTGGGTATGTTTAGTATTCTGATCAAAAACAATATACGAAGTCTACACCTTGTAATTAGTGGATGATTTTTGCCCTCGAAGTGAACGTCTATTATGGGGTATGCACCCCTCCCTCCTGGTGTCATGCATGCAACCAAGGTATTCCTCCCACAGCACCTCCTCCTCACTCGTACCGTAGCTGATGTCCTAGCAATTCGCGAAGAGGCATTCGTGATTCCCAACTCTCCCACACAATCAGGCTGCTACTACCGCGTAGCTTCCAACCCAATATCCTGCTTTGTGGCATCACATTATTACGAAGTCGACGATTTGGTTTGCTTACATCCGCCAATCATGGAAGACGATGGCACTGGCGAGTGCCACGTGGCGAAGTTGCCGCAGGGCCTCCTGTATCTCGTCCTCTCGCGCCTGCCGGGCCGCGACGCTGCGGCGGCCGAATGTGTGCATCCGACGTGGCACGCCACTCTTAACGAATGCGATTTGTGGATCCAGATGGCGAAACGCGATTGGCTGGTGACGGATGAAGAAATCAGAGCCGCTGGGATACAACAGGCGCCTTCGCCAAGCCAGACGTCTCAGCGTGAGAATTCGCGACGCGCGGCAAGCGCACGTGGAGAAAGCCCAATTGTGCGCTGCTCTTCTGCCGCACGAGCTTCCTCCAGTAGTGAATCGCCCGGGGTTTCCGCTCCACATGCAAGACCTGCAGAACCGAATCGCGGGGCGGCAAACGCCGAAGCATCTGTCGTTTCCGAATCGGATTCCGCAAAATCAGCACGGGCGCTTTACGGATCGCACTACTTTTCCTACCGCCGCTACGGATCTCTTTACCCCCGCGCGCGTCGCGTCTGGCACGTGCTGCGCAAGTGGCTGCGCGCGCATATTCCGGAACTCGACGAGACGCTGCTCGCGGGCGCAACAGAGCAGCAGCTGGATGCGGCGGAAGCGGCGCTGGGGGTGGCTTTTCCCCCCGCCATGCGCGCCTTGTATCGCGTATGCGACGGGCAGATGCCGCGGTACGATAAGATGGTGGTGGAGGTGCGCGGGGAGCAGCGGCGGCGGAGGGGAAGGGGGAGGCGCGCGCGCGGCGGAGGTGCAGAGCGGAGGGGACGCGCGGACCAGGGTAGCGGGGGAGGGGGAGAAGAGGGGGGAGCCGATAGGACAATGAGAGAAAGCGAAGAGGCAATGGCAGAGGAGGGGGAGGCGCGAGAAGCGGAGGGGGAAAGAGGCGGCACGGATGACGAGGAGGGGGAAGCAGACGCGGAAGAGGAAGAGGAAGCGGAGGAGGAGGAGGAGGATGAGGAGGCGGCAGTGCGGTCGATATTCCACGGGCTGATGGGCAGCTACAGCTTCTATGACCACTGGGTGAGCACGCGCCTGCTGCCGCTGCGCCGCATCGTGGCCGGCACACTGCAGATCCGCACGCGCGTGGCCGCCACACGCCGCACCACGGCGCTCCTCGCCCACGCCCGGGCCGGGCGCGGAGCAGGGGGAAGGGGAGGCGCAGCAGGGGGGGGGGCGGGAGCAGCGGGGGGAACGGGAGGAGCGGGGTTTGGAGGGAGCGAGTGGCCGGCAACGCAGATTCTAATCGGCGCATCATTCAACTACTCGAAGCTCTTCTTCCTGGATTGCGCCACGGGCATGGTGTCCGTGGGGGGCAGCGATGTGCTGCACGCCTGCACGTTCCTCCCCTGCGTGCCTCCCTCGCGCCCGCGCGCCTGCCCGAATCCGCTGGCTTCAGAGGTCCCCCTCGCGGTTGCAGACACGGTGCAGGCGGCAGGTGGAGAGGGGGAAGGTGGGGGAGACGGCATGGGTGGCGGCATGGGAGGTGGCATGGGACCGGAAGTGGCTTCCAGTGACGGCAGCAGCAGCAGCAGGGATGGCATGGTGAGGTGGCTGGAGGAATACGCATGTAGGCTGGCCCACGGGTGGTACAGGGTGTGCAAAGTGGTAGATGACATCCCCGCTAGAGGCATCTGCCTGTTTCCTGAACAGGCTCCCCTGTGCTCCATGGCTGTCACCAGAGGGGTGTGTGTGCGCGCCTCTGCTCTCTTTGTGCCGGAAGTGGCGCCACTCGTGCTGCCTCGGCCTCCTCTCGCCGCCACTGCTGGCGGTCCGGGGTTGGAATCTCAGCAGCAGGCTGCGTTTAATTCTTCTTCTCCTCCTGCTGGTGGATCTTCTGGTGGGGGGGATGGGGGGGATGAGGAGGCAGAGGCAGCAGCAGGTGACCAGAGGGGTGGCAGAGGAGGAACAAGGAGGAGGAGGGGTCAGAGAGGGAGGCGGGTGGTTGGAGCAGGGGGGCAGGCAGGAGGGGATGACGAGGAGGAGGAAGAGGAGGAGGAAGGGCAGAGGTGCTTCGCGTATTCTGTCCGCATGAAGCTGCTGCCTTTAGACCAGCCGCAGGAGGTGCCTCCCGGTTCTATCCCCCATGCCACCATGCTTTCCTCCTCTTCCACCAACGGTTCAGCCCGAACCCCCTCTGCTGCCTCACACTTGTCAGAATCGGCTGCTCACGCTATGAGCATCGACCACAGCACCGGCCAATCAGGGGGCTCGACCGGTGGTGACATGTCAGCGTGCCAGCTGCGCTCTCGCCATTGGGTGATAAAGGAGGAAGGGGAGGTGGTGGCGGAGGTGAGGGGGGATGCAGTGGTGGGGGAGTACCCCATACTGGGGCGTGGGGGTAAGGAGTTTGTGTATCAGAGCTGCTCTCAGATGACTGGGCAGTGGGGGACCATAGAGGGGGATTTTACATTTGTGCCCGGGGGGCTGATGAGGCCGACCGGGGCAGATTTTGATGCTGCGGTTGCGCCGTTCCCTCTGCAAGTGCCTGACTTCGTTTTTTGATTCAGCTATATTGTGATGGTGCAATATTGTGATGTGCAAGCTTGGGTGAAAGATTGTGATGGTGCAATATTGTGATGTGCAATATTGTGATGGTGCAACATCGACGGTGCAACAAGTTGGGTTTCCTTCCCTCGCAATTCGTGTTGTACTGGGCAGATGCGTTCACTTACTCTGATGGAAAAGAACACTTACATATGCTGTGAAATCGGGGTTGTTGACGAGGAACGGCACTCTGTCCCTCGATTTTTTTGCGGCCTGCGATTTTGACAGCCATCTTTTTCATGAATCGTGGTGAGATCCCCCTACTCTGAACCAGCCTAGGGAGCACGAAATGCAGAACCCGTCGACGCAAGGGGCGGCATTCAAAACGCGCAAGGGACGGGTGTGATGACCGGAAAAACAGCGAAAATTTTAGGCTGTTACATCCGTGCGCACCGTTCAGGGCCGTTCACAGCCCATGGCGGGCTTGTTTTCTTTTTTCATGCAGTTTGGAATGTGTGAGCGTGTTGACCCTAAGAATTCGCTAAATATATAAAATATGGACGTTTCGGGAAACAGCTATGTGAGCAGCAGCACCAGCAGCGCGTTAAGTAGCAGTGCTGCTTCCAGCCACGAAAACGGGAAGAAGAAAACCGCAGCGGGGAGACATCGTGAAGCGCAGTGCGAGCCGCTGCTGCAGCGCGCGCGGGAGTGCGAGCAGCGGTTGATGCGCAGCGCAGGCCCCGTTTTGGCGCGGTCTGCATGCGCCGCGCTGAACCGATCTGCAGCCCTCTGCCTGCTACGTGCTGCGTGTCCTGGACCCTTGGAGAGAGTTGCTGCGGTGTGCGGCCTAGGGGAAGGTAGAGGCATAGGTGGTAGAGGAGTATTAGGTGGTGGTGGAGGTGGGGATGATGGTGGTGCAAGGGTGGGATCCAGAAAGGCATGTGCGGACGCAAAGGAGGCTCTTGCTCTTTGTCTGACTCAGCAACAGGAGTTCATAGTCACCGAGCAGGAGGCTAGGAGAAATTCCCATTTGAAGTAAATTGGATGTTTGAAGTACCAGAGCAGGCAGTCACTTTACCCCCTCCCTCTTAGGCCTATTTTTGGTCTTCCGGAATGTTTTGCATACCTACATATGGTGTTACCAACCAGCTGCAGCTAAGTCATTTCCGTCTTTCCCATCTTGGTTTGGTCATGGGCGGAGAACTTGGGTGCGGTATTGATGTTTTGTCACATGTATGAAAACTTGTCTTTAATTCTCCTTCTAAGGTTGCATGCAATCGTTAATATAAAGTGCTTGTACCTGAAATACGCACGTCTTTATATCGGTATGTCCGAAGCGGCTTTGTTACCCCATCGCTGTTTCACGTACCTGTTCGCTCAATAAGGTCAAGCACGAAAACAAAACGATAACCAACGGTATGTTTCGGTAAAAACTCAGAATCGTCTTCAACCCGTTTCTAACGTACAGGACCGTATTGAACGAACCAGGTACATAAAACCGTGACCCGCCGTGAAGAAGGTTCGCGAACTCGGCTTGTGTCTCTTCTCAATTCAGAGGGGGGATATCTCAGCCGTAAAATGAGGGTCAGGGGTTCTCAAGAGGCCACCAGAACCTTCGTTGCCGATGTGGAAAGCCCCCTCCTTGGATCTTTTCTAGAATGCCCATGTCACCCTGCCGCTAGTCCCAGACACTTCCTTTTCTCGCCGAACTTCCACGTGTCGCCAAAATTGGCATTTCAGAGATGCCTTCGTGGCAAAATCTCTTTGTGGATGAAGGCAAGTATTCACACGCAAGCACCTACTGTCACCGAATTTCCCACCACAAGGTGACACGTCGGCACATCAGGTTCGCCTCAGCAGTGCAACAGCCTTTCTCTTAGAAAACCCTTCCACTTCCCTCTGACCTTGCTAGCAGCCATACTCATCAGTCACATCAACTGCTTCTGCTCGCATTTCTCCCACGCACTTCGCGTATTCACTTCGCGTATTCCTTGCATCGATCTCAGGCTTGGAATTATCGCCTGATCCTCCTCGAGTAGCTTGTGAACTTGCAAGCCCTCTCTTTACTCAAACGACATGGCTTCGCTGGCTATCTCAGAGGGTCTGAAGGTCAGCTCCGGGGTGTCCCCAGCCTCGTCCTCATATGGCACGCGGGGAGACGTCTCTCAAGTGCGGCCAGCGCGAGTTGCGCGCGTCGGCAGGCGCGGCAAGGCTGCTGGTGCTCGCGCCATGGCGAAGGAGCTGCACTTTAACAGCGATGGCGCCACCACCAAGAGACTTCAGGTCCGTCGAAAGACCTTCGTCACACCACCTTCCAACACTCCGTGTCGTTAGGCCGTTACTCTTCATCATCGCGGTTCATTATCCCTGAGATTTCGATCCTCCCAATACTGAGATTTGCTGTCGTCTCTATTCTCAATGTCCCTCTGTCGTGTCGGCGGCTTTTCGCGAAAACAGGCTGGTGTGAACAAGCTCGCAGACCTGGTGGGCGTGACACTGGGCCCCAAGGGTCGCAACGTGGTGCTGGAGAGCAAGTACGGCGCGCCTAAGATCGTCAACGACGGTGTCACCGTTGCCAAGGAGGTAAGCACCGTCCGTCCATCGCTTCCTGTGGCCGATCTAATTCACCGAGCAAATCGCGCTTACCATTACGGGTTCCCTGTACTCGTATCGTCCGCGTCCACAGCTCTACGCCCCGTGAACCGCTCTTGCGGTGTCATACTTCCGAAATTTCTCAATCTATGTTCGGTTTATTGGACAATGGCAAGAACATGCACTCTAATTTCGTCGTTCGGCATAAACCTGCCCTCTCATTGACCAATCTCCCCACGTCGCACCGTATTCACCCAATCAGGTGGAGCTCGAGGACCCTGTGGAGAACATCGGCGCGAAGCTCGTGCGCCAGGCCGCCGCCAAGACGAACGATCTTGCCGGCGACGGCACGACGACGTCCGTGGTGCTCGCGCAGGGCATGATCGCCGAGGGAATGAAGGTCGTCGCTGCCGGCGCCAACCCCATTCAGATCACGCGCGGGATTGACAAGACGGTTGTCGCGCTCGTCAAGGAGCTGAAGAGCCTCGCCAAGGAGGTGCGTGACGTGTCACGGAAGCGCGATGATGCAGGAAGATCGTCGTGACAGAACTATTTGCGATGCTTTTGCGTTACCAGAAACCGTCAATCTGAACTGTTAGCTCCACCGCCACATTCTTCTCATTCCTCCCCGCCGTCCCCTGACTCCTTTTTCAAACCCGCTCCGTAGCCGTTTCTTTATGTATCAACTCACTGAATCGTCGATCTTACGGTTCCACCCTCCGTAGGTTGAGGACGCGGAGCTGGCGCAAGTGGCGGCGGTGAGCGCGGGCAACAACGAGGAAGTCGGCGAGATGATTGCGGAGGCCATGAGCAAGGTGGGGCGGCGCGGCGTGGTGACGCTAGAGGAGGGCAAGAGCGCGGAGAACAACCTGTACGTGGTGGAGGGCATGCAGTTCGACCGCGGGTACCTCTCGCCCTACTTCGTCACCGATACCGAGAAGATGGCCGTTGAATACGACAACTGCAAGGTACCGCTTCTTCGTTCTTTCCCCCACATCCATCTCTTCTTCCACCTCCCCCCCTCCCTCCGCCCTCCCTTCTCCCTCCCCGTCCACCCTCTTTTTCTCTTAAAGTTACTTGTTTTTCCCTTCTTCCTCGCTGCATTTCGCTCCTTTTCCCTTCATTTTCCCTTCGAGGTCTTGACGAGTGACGGAGTGACTATTAACGCACGTAGGTCACGTTAAGGGCCATTTCGTTAAACCCCTGAGTTCCCACGTGGCTAACGTACGTCCACTCGGGTGCTTCATTCCATCTGTGTCTTGGACCCACTAGTATTGTCATTCCCAAAATCTTTTTTGCCATGCTCATTTTTTCCCTCTCCTCTCCCCTTCCCTTTCTTTGCCTCTCCTCTTTGCCCCCGTCTCCCCCCCCACCCACCCGCCTCCCCCTTTTCCCCACCGCCGCAGCTGCTGTTGGTGGACAAGAAGATCTCGACGGCGCGCGACATCATCGGCATTCTCGAGGACGCGATCCGCGGCTCGTACCCGCTGCTGATCGTCGCGGAGGACATCGAGCAGGAGGCGCTCGCGACGCTCGTCGTCAACAAGCTGCGCGGCTCGCTCAAGGTCGCCGCGCTCAAGGCGCCCGGCTTCGGCGAGCGCAAGAGCCAATACCTCGACGATATCGCCATCCTCACCGGAGGTACGGCAACGGTTTACCTTTTTTATTTTCCTGGGGCGCTTCGAACCTAGATTCCCGCGAGCTCAAGAGCCAATGCGTTGAGGAAATCGTCTCTCTTACGGCGGGTGCCGGGGGGCTCGTGTGCCTCGGTCGTCTAGCCGCTCTAGGCGAGCTCTTTAGCTCTCGAGCTGGTGATGGCGAGATGTGTATGGGTTTTGGGTTTGGTGCCCCTTCGCGTAGACGGGGGCCGGGAATCGGGATCTGCGAAGCGGGAGAAAAGGAAGCGGAGAGAAGCCGTTTAAGTAGTTGGTTCGGTAATGACATACGTTTTTTTGGTGGCCCGCTCCTCACAAAACCGTCACCTTTCCGCGCGTCACAAAATCTCACCGCAATTCTGTTGTCCAATTCCCGTTTCCGTCGCTTCATCCCGCCAACCCTTACAGGCACGGTGGTGCGCGAGGAGGTGGGATTTGCCCTTGACAAGGTGGGCCGCGAGGTGCTGGGAACAGCGGCCAAGGTGACGCTCACCAAGGACGCGACCACGATCGTGTGAGGATCGAGGCACCTCAGAACAGGACTCGATGGGGCGTGGCGGGGGGCACTGTCACCTCCCTCTTCCTCCTCTCATCGCATTCCGTTCCTCCCGTTTTGTCAACCCTTCACAGGCACGGTGGTGCGTGAGGAAGTTGGCCTTGCGCTCGACAAGGTCGGCCGTGAGGTTCTGGGAACAGCGGCCAAGGTGACGCTCACCAAGGACGCGACGACGATCGTGGGCGACGGGTCGACGCAGGACGCGGTGGCGGTGCGCGTGGCGCAGATCCGCAACCAGATCGAGAACGCGGAGCAGGAGTACGAGAAGGAGAAGCTCAACGAGCGCATCGCCAAGCTGTCCGGCGGTGTTGCTATCATCCAGGTGAGCGCTTCCCCGGCTCAACCTGCAACTGACACGTGGTGCACGTGGGACCTGGCTGCCTTTGAGCTGACCTGAGGAACGCTGCATGGATCCCACCTATGCACTTTCTCTTTCCTCTCATCTGCCACGCGTAATGGACGAAGCACAGAGCAGCTGCCAAAGCTCTCCTCCGCTTGCCATGTGCCCTCGCGCGCCTGCGTCAGCGGTCCCAGCTATGTGTGAGGCTTGGAGCACCTGCTAACCCGTCCATCTCTCCCACCCACGCCGTGTGCCTGCCCCCATATCCACGCAACCGCGCGTTAACAGGTGGGCGCGCAGACGGAGACGGAGCTCAAGGAGAAGAAGCTGCGCGTGGAGGACGCGCTGAACGCCCCCAACTCTTGAGCCTCCACCTAACCCGTCCGTACCGTTCCTTTCACACCCCTTGTGCCCCTGCGACCATGCGCGCACGTGTCCCCAGGTGGGCGCGCAGACGGAGACGGAGCTCAAGGAGAAGAAGCTGCGCGTGGAGGACGGCTTGGCTCTATGCTTTGAGCACCTTCTAACCCATCCGTCTCTCCTACCCATGCCTTGTTGTTCCCCCGCTCCCGTGTAACCACTTGTTAACAGGTGGGCGCGCAGACGGAGACGGAGCTCAAGGAGAAGAAGCTGCGCGTGGAGGACGCGCTGAACGCGACCAAGGCGGCGGTGGAGGAGGGCATTGTGGTTGGCGGCGGCTGCACGCTGCTGCGCCTGTCCACCAAGGTGGACGCCATCAAGGACACGCTCGATGGCGAGGAGCAGAAGGTAAGCGTGTCTGAGATGTGCAAACCTCATGTCCGCATGTGCTGTGTGCTTGTGCTTGCTTGTGCTGCACTGCTGCGCCTCTCCACCAAGGTGGACGCCATTAAGGACACGCTCTACGGCGAGGAGCAGAAGGTGCGAGTGTGCGCAAGGCAGTGTGGATAGCTATACGCTCTTGAAAAGCTCTTGTTGCATGTGTGCGTTTGCTGCGTGCGAGACTGCTGCGCCTCTCCACCAAAGTGGTCGCCATCAAGGACACGCTCGACGGCGAGGAGCAGAAGGTGCGCGTCTGAGTTGTGTGAGCCTCATGTGCGTGTGTGCTGTGCGCTTGTGCTTGCTTGTGCTGCGCTGCTGCGCCTGTCCACCAAGGTGGACGCCATCAAGAGCACGCTTGCTGGCGAGGAGCAGAAGGTGCGCGTGCGGAAGTGGGGTTGAGTGAGTGGTAGAGTCGGGGGTTTCGGGCATGTGAATCTGTGAGCGCGTGCTGCATTTGAGGCTGCCGTGCCTCTCCATCAACATTGACGCTACCAAGGACGCGCTCACCATTGAGGAGCACAAGGTACGGTTTCGGAAGTGGGGCTGAGTGAATGTTATGTGCTGCTGTGCCTCTTCACCAACGTGCACGCTACCAAGGACGCGCTCACCATTCGAGGAGGAGCACAGGGTAGGTGCAGGTGGGGTTGGTTCCGGTTGGTTGGTTTGTTGAGGGGGGCTGAGTGTATGCTTGTGTGGCACTTAAAGCCTCCTAAGCCTTGACAAATCGAGGTGGACGCCGTCAAATCAAGGATGCTCTCGCCAATGAGTGGGCGTGTGCGTGAGGCTGTGTGGGGCTCTACCCCCATCCCCACTCCTCCACCCCCTGATTTAAGGTGCCACCCCTCCCCTGTGGTCCTTCCTCCTTTCCCTACCCTCCTGCTCTCCTTTTTCTTCAGCCACCCTCCCTTACCCATCCAGGGTTAGGCGTTCCTCGTCCTTACCTTATCCATCTCTCCCTATGCCCTCTTCTCCCCTCTGCAGGTGGGAGCTGACATTGTGAAGCGCTCTCTGAGCTACCCCCTCAAGCTCATCTTGCTTCCCGGTTGCCCTCTTCCACCCCTGCTATCTATGCCCTTGCTCTTCCCCTCCTGCTCTCCCCTCTTCAGGTGGGAGCTGACATTGTCAAGCGCTCCCTGAGCTACCCCCTGAAGCTCATCTCTCTTTTCCACTGTTATCCCCTTGCTCTTCCCCTCTTATTGCGTTCCCAGGTGGGAGCTGACATTGTCAAGCGCTCCCTGAGCTACCCCCTGAAGCTGATCGCCAAGAACGCAGGCGTGAATGGCAGTGTGGTGGTGGAGAAGGTTCGCAGCAACCCCAACCCCAACTTTGGGTACAATGCGGGCACGGGCGAGTATGAGGACCTCATGGCGGCCGGCATTATCGACCCCGCTAAGGTGGTGCGGTGCTGCTTGGAGCACGCGGCTTCAGTGGCTAAGATCTTCCTCACGAGTGACTGCGTTGTGACGGATATTAAGGAGCCTGAGCCTGCTGCGCTTCCCAACCCCATGGATGCTTCAGGTGAGGGAGAGGGGCGATAGATGGGGTTAGTGGGAGAGCGGTGGGGGGCGAGAGAAAAGGTTTAAGGGGGATCTTGGGAGGGGAATGATTGGAGTGGGGACTTGATAAAGGGTGGTTTTGATGTGTGAGTTAGGGAATTATTCTGTGTTATGCTTCTTTTCTCATTCATGTGTGTGTTATTCATTGCGCGTGTCTATGCAGGTTATGGCTACTAGGAAGCTGGTTAGGTTCCAAGCACCGCATTAGAAGCTCTGCTGCCATTTAGAGCCTGCCAGATTTAGTGGTATTGTGGCCTCCAGCTGCCGTGCGTCTCATTTTGTTATCCAACTGGATATGTTTGACTATCCTACCAGTAATTGTGCTCCTGTGCTCTGTTCCTCATCGCACGCTGCATTTTTTGTATGGATAGTTTGTTGGTTCTGGCTTACAATTTATGACGCTATTACAGTCCACAAACCCGTTGCCCCCCTCCCAAACCACTCACTTCACTACCGTAAATCATGTCACTGATACGGTAAAAATGCCCAAAATGCCCAGCCTCGAAAGTAATCATCCACATGAATGTGGATCTGAGCATTGATAGCTTGTATTGATGGTTCTATAATGCTTCAAATAGCAAGCAACTAAGCAACTCAAACTACTACGGTACCGTAGTAGGACATTTCACTACTTGCTCCAATACAATTTGGAGCATGCATGCATTGTGAACAAGAAAGCAAGAAACTAACACCACTATCCGAAAGCTACCGTATATCCCCAAACAATAGAGCTGCAAAAAAAACAAAAAAGAACAACAAGTACGGTACATGCAAAACAATTGCACTGCAGGCAGGTGTGACTCTCCCAGGTGTGATGTAACTTGCTCCAATGCAAAAGTGGCTGTATACGAGCCGAGATAGCTCGAGCTTCATACCACACGGCAGGATCACCACACCTCCACCTCACTCCACCAGACAACGTTGCAGGTATCAGATCCCTTGCAGTAAGGCCCCTCTGGTGTATAAGAATGCCCTTCACACAGTGGCGCGGCGAAGATTTAGGGGTCTCGAATTCCCCATCCAGGGTGGAGTGGAACGTGCAGAGTGCGACATGCAGATATCAAGGTGTGGCAGAGTGCAGGGTGCATGACGATGCAACAACAGACAATGTGTCCCATCGATTCCTTGTGTGCCGCGCCGCGCTGCATCACTGGCAAAGGTCGGTGACCCACCCTAGGTCCGGAAGCATGGCTCCTGCGTACTCTGACGTATCCGATGCTGCTCTCGGCATTCCCAAGGGGCACCTGCTCCCTGCTCCTGTCCCGGCTGCTGTTGCTGATGCTGCTGCAGACACCGCTATTGCAGATCCTGCACGGTGAAGGGACCTCCCAGCCACCCCAGAAGTAGCTGCTGCTGCTGCTGCTCCGCTCGCCACTGCCAAAGGGAACATTGCGGCGGGGGCAGAAGCAGCAGCAGCGGCGGCGGCGGCGGCGGCGGCGGCGGCAGCAGCGGGAGAAGCAGCGGCGCGAGAGGCGGGCATGGAGGCATGGTTGTGCATGTGCAGAGCACCCATATGGTGCAGAAACTCACCATGGGGCATGCCTACAGGCATCGGCATGGGCGCGGGCATGGGCATATGCAAGGGCATGGACATGGGCATGGGCATGGGCGTAGGCATGCGCGTTGGAATGAGCGTGAGCGTGGGCGTGGGCGTGGGCGTGGGCGTGGGCGTGGGCGTGTTGGCAATGGCGCTGGTTGAATGGCCGAGCGCGGCATGAGCTGCAGCGAGGGTGAGATATGCGTCGGCCTCTGCTGAGGTCAGTCGGAGAGGCTCCGAGTGAGCCACTGGAAGACTGCGGCTTGCTGCCAGGCGCACATTCACTGCGTGCTGCTGCTGCTGCTGCTGCTGTTGCTGGGATTGGTGTTGCTGCTGGTGATGCTGCTGCTCTTGTTGCTGCTGCTGCTTCTGCTGGAGCTGCTGCTGCTGCTGCTGTTGCTGCTGCAGCTCCATGCTTCGAAACGCAGCAACGAGCTTCTCCATATGCTCGGAAGTGGCACCACCTGCGCTCGCAGCAAAACGCTCCAGCTGGTGCCGCTGCTGCTGCTGCTGGGAGTGCAGGTGAGCGAAATTGGCCGGGGCGGAATGCACCGAGTGCAGATGCGGCGGATAGGGGAAGTGCATGGTTGACGCGGGTGACAGCTGATGCTGATGCTGCTGCTGCTGCTGCTGCTGCTGCTGTGGCTGAGTCTGATGTAGATTGTGCTGCTGCTGCTGTTGCTGTTGCTGCGTGTAAAGCTGCGTGTCGAACGCATGAGACGGGAGCGTATGAGCAGCAGACACGTGCGGGAGAGCCACTGGGTATCCCTTCGACGGAACGGGGTAGAAGAGCGAAGGATAGGGGAGGGAAGGCGAAGGGGAAGGTGAGGGGGAAGAGGAGGGTGACGGAGAAGGTATAGCACCGAGTTCAGGCATTACTTGCGCAAACGACACTGCGCCATGCTGATATTGCTCATAGTCACCCTGCTTCTGCTGCTGCTGCTGCTGCTTCTGCTGCTGCTGCTGCTGCTGCTGCTGCTGCTGCTGATGCTGCTGCTGCTGATGCTGCTGCTGCTGCTGCTGCTGTTGCACAAGCACGGTCGGGGCCACACCCCCGGGTTGGTGCGGCGAGCTAGGGGGAGAAGAAGACGCGGGAGTGAGGGGAGGGGTATGGGGACCCGCGCTGCTGCTGCGGCTGACATCACACGGAAACACACTCGTGGGCGACGAGTCGTCCACGACCAGCGCTGTCCCCGTTATAGGCTGTTCGTTATTATTACACCCCGACTTTCCACCATCAGCCGCTCCTACACCGCCAGTAACGCCAGAACCTCCGCCAAATGCGGCGGAGGCGTCCCCTGTGGAACCGTCCCCCCCGGCGGCGGCAGCGGCGGCGGCAGCGGCCGCCGCGGAGGGCATGAGGCGCAGCTGCGCGGGCGTGTGCGCGAAGAAGCAGACGCGGCGCTTGCAGTTGCGCCCATCCTTGCACGGCTGCGTGCGATAGCGCGACGGGTGTAACCAGCATTCGAACACCCCGTGCGCGTACTCGCACGCGTCGCCGCGCCGACACGTCCCCTTGCGGAAGTCCGGGCACGCGGTTCCGCTGTAGTGGTACCTCCGCGGGTCGCGCCGGCGCGCCTTTTCCCCCGGGTGCGCGAAGGGGCACTCCGTCCAGTCGTGGCTGCGCCCGCGCATGCAGCGGCGGACCTTGAACTCGAACATGCGGAACTCGTCGTTGGCGTATCCGTCCACCGCCTCCCCGTCGTCGTCGTTGTTGCTGGGGAGAAAGCGCCGCAGACCGCCCACGTCGGGAATCCCGCCGCACCCGCCACCGCCACCACCACCGCGGCCGCCTCCGCCGCCGCTGGTGATATTTCCGCCGCCTGCACCTGCGGACGCGGACGATCCTCCGCCTCCGCCGCCTTGCCGCCGGAGGGATGCGGGGCCGCTCCTTTCAGACCCGCCGCGATTGCCGCCGCCATTCGCGCTGTTCCCGACGTTGTTCCCGGCGCTGCTCGCGTCGCAACCGAGGGTCATGGAGTCGCACACGTCGCAGGCGACGCTCCTCTGTCCGGACATCTGTAAGTCATGTTGGAGCTCGAAGGACGATCGACGCGGTTGCTGCTGCTGCTGCGACTGCTGCTGCTGCTGCTGCTGCTGCAGGTCGTTACGGTAATGCGCCGCGAGCGCATGTTCCGCCACCTGTTCGTGGTCGTGCGGGTGCCTCGGCGCGAGGCCTTGCGGCGGCGCGGCCTGCACGCGGCGGGACGGTTGGCAATCGCGCTGCGGAAGGCTCGCGAGCAGCAACGCGACGGCGTCCATCCCCCCAACCTCGTCCGCAGCGCATGACGAGCTAGTGGACGACCGACGACTGCCATGCTGCTGCTGTTCCTGCTGCTGCTGCTGCTGCTGCTGCAAGGCATGATGCATTTGCAAAGCGGCGCCACACCGTTCCTCGCCTGGCAGCACCGCGTCGCCGTGTTGGCGGTGGTATTCGCCACGGGGGGCGCTGTGGGAGTCTTCCGCCATGTTGAGTGGCGGGAGTTGCGCGCACTGCGCGGAGCACGGCTCGCGATCCTGCTGCCCCTGCTGCTGCTGCTGCTGCTGGTAATAGAAATTTAGCGCATCGGCATCCAATACGTCCGTCGATCTAAGAGCCGATATAATGCGCGCACGCCAAGCGCTTGGTATGGCCCCGCCGGTTGCGCCGGCATCCCCGGCGCCGCTGCTGCGGGAGAAATATCTTTGCGAAGCATCTTCCTCGGCCCCGCCAGGCTCCGCGCCCATAATCATCCGCGATACAAGTCTTCCCGGAAACATAAATTCGCCGTGGGCGGCCGCCGCAGTTTCCGGATCGGAAGCGTCTACTGCGTCAGATAACCCACAGCAATCATTCAGGGTTGCGAATCGTGCATCGACGGTGGTCGGGGGCACTGGGTGCGTCCGAAAGAGCAATTCGTCACAATAGTTCCCATCTCCAACTGAGTGGGAGTTTATTCGTGTAGAAACTCCTCCGAAAAATCTGCTGCCTGGCGCACATGCGACGGAGACGGCGTTTCCGTCGCCAGCAATAGCGTTTCCGTCGCTAGAAACGAAGGCGACGGAGGAGGCTGAAGAGGTGCTATGAGCCAACATGGGTAGAGAACCCTGGCTGAGAGCTGGGTGGTTATGCGCTTTTTCCAAAGAAGCGGCACGGAAACGAGTGGGAGGGAGGGAGGACAAGCCGCAACCCCCGCTAAGGCTGTACGGATCAGAAGCCTTAAAGTAATCCTCATGCGCCACGTCCGACATAGCTGGGAAAAGAAAGTCACTACTAGCTCGAACAAGAAATTTGGGTAGGAACTTTGACTCGATCCACAAACACTTGAGGGAGCTAGATGCAGACCTGAGGACTAGCAGCCGTTTCGGGCCAATAGTGAAACTGCGCTTTGAAAAAGCGCGCTGAATCAATCCCGTGCAAGACGACGACTGGTTCCCGACGATTCACATGCACACACTTCGGTCCCCGTGCCAGGACGGACGTGGTCCAAGACACAGAAATACTTATCATGCACTGGACGCCGATTATCAAAGATAGAAACCATGCACAGAGTGGTGAGAAAGAAACTGATGAATGAGAAAGAAACAGAGCATGGCGGTGGGCGGGGTGGGTGGCTTGTGGAAAGGGAACGCGAAAGGGCACGGACTGGTGGAAACAAGCAAGGTCCCGTGGTAGTGATACAAATGCAAGTTGGGGAGGGAATGCCGAAATGCTGCTGCTTGGCTTGAAAAGAGGGAAAAGCTGGCGTGGAGAGAAAGCATCATTATCCACTGCTGAAAGGAGGAGGATCAGAGAAAACCGTGGGCGGGGGAAAATGCAAAAGCATGAGGAGCAAGAGAAATTCGGAGTCGCGCGGCATCATTACGGCAACGGAAATCCAACAAGGCACTGAGGGCATCCCCAGGAGTCCGGTCGGGGCATATGAATTTTACGAGAACTGCAAACATAAACAAAATTACGAGTATGGCAGGAAAGTGTATCTTTTTACTACCAAAACAACACCTTCTCGTAAGGCTCTTTGACTTATCAGTCTGGGTTTACCACGTCATTCCAAATTACTGAAACATACAGTAATGCCCCAAAGCGTTTTCCCCCCACTTTATGGGAATTCCTTCAGGGATTACTTGGTGCGGAATCGGGGATGGATGAGCAGAGGGCACAACGCAGGGGAGAGGGAGGGAGTGAAGGGGAATCCAGAGTCGCACACATGCAGGCGCATCGACACGGCGAGGCGGAAGCACACCACACATGCCACGCTGCACGCTGGCTGGGTTCAAAGGCGCAGACACCTGCACCAGCAGCTGAGTTGGCGGAAACGTTGGGGAGAAATAGGGCGGATGAGACTGGCGCGGACTACAGTACAACAAGTCACCGCACGCGTGACGCACGCTTGTGAATGCGCCGCGGAAAACCAGAACTCCGCTCCACCCGCAAAAGGACAGGACAAGCCACTTCGGCATTGACAGACTGGGACCTTGCTTGAAGTGAGAGTTCATTCGCGTGGCATTTCGCGGCAAGGATGTGTCTGCTTCGCGAATCACGATGTGTACATTAGTGAATGAAATTGGAAAGAAGGCATTCTTCCTTCAGATCCAACAAATGTCCTACAAGCTTGGGGCAGCATGGAAGCTCTCGCACGTGGAACGAAGCTTTCGACAAACGCCAAAACCATAGCTTCCGATAAGAAATAGAGAGTACCCCAAATCTGTACTCCACGTTTCATACGATTTTTCAGACTGTCCTTGTTGCTACCAATAATTGTGAGATTGGGAACCAAAACGGTCATGGCAACTCTTTTTTTTTCCGAACTGGTACCGCGTACATGGCCATCCTGTTGCGAGAATCACTCTCACTGGTCCATTGGGGTTTGTGGGTAAGAACCCTGTCACCTCGTGGACTTGGTGACGAACAAGGCTGGATGTTCTTTCGAGCTGTGAATTTGTGGGCGAGGCCGTAGACACCAGCTCTAAAATAGATGATGGATGACATGGAGATAGCGCAGACGTCAGCAAAACCTTCGCACAGCACGTCAACAAATCAGAACCTGGTAAAATGTTTGTATCACGTGGTACTCATGTGATAAGCAACCTGAAAAATCTGTGTCGTAGCAGCACGGCACGTGAAGTTATTATAACTGGAAGACTAGGCCCCAGCAGCATCACTCAAAACTCTGACCGAATGAATGATCGGCCAAACTTGCAACATGGAGCACAATGCAACATCGTCCGCATTCATGCGTTGGACATCGTCCATCAGAACCTCGAATTTGTCATCATTCCAACCCAGATTGCACACCTCGAGTTCATTGAGTCTACAGTCGATGCTCACCTCACAAAACATTTGCTCGTGACAATTAGAATTTTACTCACAATTGCATGTTTTATCGGGTGATGTCACAAGGGGTACAGTCACTCAATTTTTTGGTGGCATGTGGTTTTTGTCAGGCAGATTTACAGGGCGCTTCGACCTTGGCACACAAGACAAGCACTACATCAAAAGCTGCGAAATCTTCCCGATTTCCAGCGAAGTCTTCGCTGGCTTCGTTAGTGTGGTGTTTGTCATCTCACACAGGGACTCGAAATGCAGCGCGAAGCCAATGATAGCTTTCATGGTAACTAAGAACATGCACAAACAACAACGGACGCTGGTCCACAGTAACTGGGAAAAGTTAAACATGTTACAACCTTGAAACCCTACAATCACCTTATGCCAGTGGCGACTTGCGCAAATCGAAAAGGCCTGCTCATTTCAAAAACATTCTGCCCGGCTACCAGGTGTGACTGTAACGCGCATATAAAAAAACTGATCTTGTAGTCACTTCATTTGTAATCTCGTTTCTAGAACCACCAGCAGTCACCATCTATATTGCAATGCATTCCCACTAGCAAATTGTTTGGTTTTCAAAACTGTTATATCACACAAATTCAATTCATGCAACAGGTTCAGATACGATTGTAAAATGCACTAGCATGACAATACCTGATATTTTAGTATTCGTTAAGGTCTTAAAAGTGGGATTTTCTGTATGTTAATTCATTCATTCCTTTTATGTTTTGTTACAGTCAGAAACAAAACTTAGCCAATTATTGGCTCATGGTTGTTTGTATGTAGATTTGCGGCGAAAGTAGTGACCTTAGGGCGCGTCACCTCTGGCACTGTAGGGCCAAATTCGGATTCTGTACTCAATTTGGTGTATCAAAAACCGGCCCTCCAGTTTCCGAACGCAAATCCGAATTTGCAGAGATTTGTGATACCATGTCACATCAGGTGACACCCCCGTTTTTCTTACACGACAAATGTTCGAAGGTGCGACGTCGCACTCAAGCGACGATTGGGGTGCGAATCGCCATCTTCGCTATTGTGACACTGCGACCACACGAAGCGCCGTTGCTGTGCCCAAGGTTGGAGTAGAAGTTGCTGATTGAGAAAGCTTGCTTTCTGGTTATTGCAAGGCAACGTGCTTCATTTTAATTGGGTAATTACAACATTCTCGTCCAACTTGAGCATTGCATAATAATCAGCTAGGGGCGGGTGGGGGGGAAGCGGAACTGAAAAGTTCCGAAATGAAGACGTGGGTGGAGGCCAAATGGCCTCCAACCCTCGTTATGTACTCGGGAACAAGCATTCGCAGTTGCCTTGCTTCACTACAGTCAGCTGCGCTTTCACAATCTTTATTTTTAGAAAGTGTTTCACACTTTCAAAAAATTTCATATCATCTCACAGGCGCCAACGAATTCGACACACAACCAACCAACATGAGAACTCGCGCTCTCTTGCTCCTCCACACATGGTTGTACCACGGATTCACGGCCTTCTTTGATGAGCCCGCAAACTTGTACGTAGCAATTTGGCTCACAGAGCTAGCTTTGCTCGAAGACATTTCTGCCGCAACAGATTTCCGAGAATTTGACCGACGCAACCAGCGCCAAGTCTGGCACGATCGACTGTATAATCTACAGCCTGTGCCATTCTACGAATACCTCCGCGTTGACAGAGAGGTTTTTACGTACCTCGTAGATTCATACCGAACTTGCTTTTCAGAAAGGCCACGCCATGTCTCCATAGAATGCATAGTGGCGCTAGCACTCGTCAGATTTGGCACAGGCGCAACATACCGACAGTTAGGTCTGTCACATGGAACATCGACATGGCATGCGTATAGGATCGTGCAGCACTTTACAAAATTCGTCGTTCGTCATCTAACCCCCAATTGGGTCACATGGCCAGAGTTAGACGACCTGCCACGTATAGCATCGGAATTTCAATACGAAGGAGGAATTCTAGGTGTGGTAGGGTCCTTAGACGGCACATACATAAGATGCAGAGGAGAGGGACCACATCGCGATGACTTCAAGAACCGTAAGGGTTTTTATTCAATCATACTACAACTTATATGCGACTCCAACGGCATTATTTGGGATTTCTTTGCAGGCTGGCCAGGTAGCACCAATGATGCTAGGGTCTTCTTCCTCTCTGGCGCAAGGCGCCTTATTGAAGGGGGACGCATTGGGAATTACGGCCTCGTGATTATACGTACGTCCCATATCGCGCTCCGAGCGGACGTACGTTGCCTGAGGAGAAGGACAAATGGAACTTCTTGCAGTCACGTCAACGAATGATAATCGAATGTGTGAATGGGAAATTGAAAACAAAGTGGAGGCTCTTAGACGAGCGTATGGAGTGCGAGTTGGAGAGGGTGGTCGATGCATGCGCAGTAGCGGTGACATTGCGCAACATCGACATGCAGATTGGGTCCCGTGTGCGGCTAGGACCTGAGCCGGTGAGGCATAGGTGGTGGCTAGAGGGACCCGCTGCTCAATTGGTACATACCGGGCGGGAAGTGGCGAGCTTCACTCCGTCTCTGAGGAGGACTCGCTTGACGGATGCTCTCTACGCGTCCTTTTTGATCGCGCACCCCGGATCGAGCGCGCAAACTCACGGGTAAGCGCCTTAAACTCTTCCCAATGCTTGTCTTGTCGTTCGTCGAAGTCCTTCATGTGCGTCGCATAGTACTGCATGTTGGAATGCATCCCCGAGCCTCCCCTTCTGACCGGCCCCCTTGATGTGCCTTCCCCCCCGTCAGTCGGCGGCGTAACGCCCCAAGTCAAACGCCGGGATCGCAGCGAAACACCCGTGCTCGGACCGGGCAGAGTTGAGAAGGGAGATCCAGGAGCGGCCTCGCATCCCAGGGTCGGTGCTGAATGCGTCGCCCGTGCGGAGATAGACGTGGGCGTGGGCAGAGGGGTCGGATCAGATGTACCTGTAGTAGTCGTAAGGGATTTGTAAAATCCAGAATTTGTAATTCCAGAAGCATAGTGCGAGTGCATGGTGTTGTCAAGGTTGAGCCAATTACCAACAGAAAGATCAAAAGCACATTACGTACATCACCTCGAAACGGGCCTACCAGGAGCTGCGTGCATGGCCGTGCTAGACACAGGAGAGTTGCCAGCGGCTGCGTTAGACTGCGCATCAGTGGGAGACGCGCCAGGAGTGGGAGCAGCCGTGCGCGCCGCGCCAGGAGTGGGAGCCGCCGTGCGCGCCGCGCCAGGAGTGGGAGCAGCAGTGCGCGACGCGCCAGGAGTGGGAGCAGCAGTGCGCGACGCTCCAGGAGTGGGAGCAGCAGTGCGCGACGCGCCAGGAGTGGGCGCAGTTGCGGGCGACGGGTCAGGAGTAGGCGCAGGAGGGCGCGACGTGCCAGGAATGGGCGCGGCAGTGAGTGCCATACCAGGAGTGGGGACGGCAGTGAGTGCCGTACCAGGAGTGGGCGCCGTAGTGAGGGGGGTACCAGGAATGGGGGCGGCAGTGAGTGCCGTTCCAGGAGTGGGCGCCGCGACGTTGCCAATAGGCGCATTGGGCACAGGGGCGTTGCCAGCAAGAACCAACGGCGCAGCGGCAGGCCTGCTGCCGAATACATCGTCGAAAATTGGGTACCATGAGGGTAGGCCTCGAGGGCGTCCAGCGCCGCTGCGATTGACGATAGTATCCCGCCATCTTCGCCAGGAGTCTTTCATGCGGTTCAGCTTCGCTCGAATCGCTGCAGCATCGTGTCGCCAAGTGGCATGCCTTTCCCTGAGCTCCTCATACAAGGTGGCGTACCAGTTGCGGCCTTGCTGGCCTGCCTGAGCACGAATCTGAGCATCCAGGTCCTGCCTCGCCACAGCGAGGTTGTATTCCTCCTCGCGCGTCCATCGAGCATAAGAGCGCGCATCACTACGACGGCGGGACGTAGACGCCGTAGCAGCTTCAGTTGTAGCAGTGGGGGGGTTTGTTTCTTCGTCTATCTCAGGCAACTCGGCTTCACCAGGATCGTCCCTAGAGCGGGCCACTTCAGCAGCAGTGTATGGGGCAGTAGGAGAGGGTAGATTATTGCCCCACCATTCGGGGTCGTCCGTAAGATCGATGTGAAATGTAGTAGTTGTTGCAGCAGGAGCTGGCGTGCCAGCAGGAGCAGCGTTGGTTTGAGAGGCTTGAGTTTCAACAAGGTCATTCTCTGCTCTGGTGCTTGGGCTGGTAGACTGGGAAGGAGGAGCTGGGTCATCCATCGTGACAGCGTTGGATGGGAGTGGCTGTCAGAATGTTATTATCTAGCCTGTAGTGGGGTGCTCTATAGCGAGTACAACCCAGTTAGGGTTTGCTATATGTATCCCAACTGCTGCTAGTGAAACCCCTCCCTCTTCCTGTTTCTAAACTTTCTCCTGCCTAAGTTTCTGACAGTGGAAACACGGTCGTGGCAAGCCCATTGGTTGACTTTTCAATGCCCCGCTGGCAGTGGCAACACGGTATGCGGTGCCGCATGGACCCGCGGCTCGAGTGAATCTCCGAATGAAAATTTGGACGTGCCGCATGGGCGAGATTTTGCGACCGCCCTCATGTGCGCGAAGAGACGCGCCATGAAAATTCGGACGTGCGAGCGCTGTGCGTCGTCGCGCGGCTGATGTTTGGAGTGGGCGAGTCGTGTGTGCGGCGAAATTGCAGCCTGGCCAATAGTAGTTGTCGCACGTGCTGGATGATTTCGCGCTGTTCGAATAACGTGCTCATGTTGCTGTTCGAAATTGGGAGGGGACTTGGAACGTGCAATGGGTGACAGCCCTGTTCGGATTTGCGACAGGTTCGTCTTGCGAATTGGCGAAATAGCTAACGATGACAGGCGGCGCCTGTAACATTTCGCCTGTTCGAACAAAGCGTCTGTTCGAATTTTGAGGTGACGAGCCCTTATCTCAAAGTGAATGTAAAATGACTGCGATAAGCATGCATGTATCGACTTTTTTTTAATAAGAAAACGGGGAATAATTAATTGCCATAGCTAGCCATGAACCCTAACGGTTTGTCAAAATCAAACCGTGCGGTGCAGGATCACGTTCCAAACCCGTTCCCGCCCTTTTCTCTTCAAATGTTTCTGCCTGCATCAGTCTCGGTTTGACGGTTCCTAGTGTCGATCCAACTTTCTGACTCCACTACTTTGTACTTGGTGGAGTCGGCTTCTGCAACGAACATGAATGCCTTATCATAAAATTTCATATTTCAACACTTCCATTTATTTTCGCACGTATCAAGGACTGACTTGATTATCTAATCCGATAAGGTTGGAGCAATGCTGGAACTACTGATGTGGCAGTCGCTGGGTGAGGAAGTCGGCTGCCATCTCGGTAGTGGGGCGGCAAGTCAACCTTGCCTTGGACAATTTCACCCTTGACAAAGTAGTAGCGCAGCGCGATGTGCTTTGTTCGGTTGACGAACCCGGGCTCGTTCGCGATCCTGATCACCCTTTGTTTGTCGCAGTGAATGCGAAAGGTGTGTTGGAGTATCAAGGGAATCATACTTAACATTCTCAAAAGTGCAGCAATACCACACCCGTCACTATCGAAGCAGCGCTAGCAGTGTCGGATCAGCCCGTATAAAGGGCAGGAAGGTCAACAATCGCAAGAGTCAACTGTCGTAACTGTTGACCTTCTGGACCGACGGTTGACTCACCACCCAGGAATGGCAACAGGCGTAGCCGTACGCACGGTTACACGTAGCTACTCAGTAACAAGAAAAGAAGAGTCACTGTAGAATTGCCTGTAAAACAGCTATAGTAAGGGAATGTACCCCTTAGAGTACATGGCTAGATAGGACTATTTATTTGCTTGTATTCTACCCTTGAATAAATTTTGTGATTTACATTCACTATGACCAGAGTTCTTACAAAGACTTCCGCTGCCAACCTCTTCTAAGGCATTCCTATCCTATCCAAGATCCTCACTCTAGCATGGTATGAGAGCTAGTTTGGATTATAGGATCTGCTAAAAGCCCCTTCAAAACGACAACCTTTTCATATAACTTATCATTACATCGAAAGTGTCAACATGTCAGGCGCAGATTGTGGAGAGGCTGGAGAAAATCCAGTGCCATCTCCATCCAATGTCGCTCCCGGAACGACTACGGTGGACACAACACTGCTGGAGCATCAGCTAATGAGCATCGCCCTGGAAACCCATCAGCTAATGAGCATCGACGGAACTCAAAGACCTCCCGATCCTCAAGGAACTCATTCCGAGAGATCCTTCACCTTCGACAATCGCGGAGCTCAAGGCCCTACACAAGCACAACAACAGCATTTCGAGACAATGGCGTCAATGCAGAACAAGTTTCTCTCAACATTAAAGCTCAGGACCATCTTACCCTTCGACGGGAAGGATTTCTACACGTGGAGTTTCGAATTCGTTCGAACTCCTCGCTCAAGGTGCTCAGATCTGGATGAACTACGACGGATCTTACCCGTTCCTGGCCAGCGGCTCACCTCAGGAGAAAAATCAATATTACAATGAGTCGCTGTTGGCCTTCACCGTCCTACTCCGGAATCTGACACCCAAGGAACAACTGAGCATCCGCCCGTTTTAAAACGAGTGGGCACCAGCGTATCAGGCCTGGGAGCACCTGCGCACCTGCCACATGGCAACAGACTTGGTGACACTTAGTCGCCTACTCAACCAGCTGAACAATATCTAGATGCTGCCCGGCGAGAAGGCCGGACCATACATCAACAGCTGCAGAAATTTGGGAAACAAATTCAAGAAAAGCGGCGGAAACTTCCCTGACGATATGTTTGTTACTATCATTCTCGCTGGTTTGAGTCCGGAATGGCGCCACTGCAAATCGCTTCTCCGCATGCAAGGAACACCAGCGAAACCTCTCTCTACGCATCTCTTATCGCAGAGCAGCAGGAGATCAACATGTACAACGAGAGAGGCAACAGAAAGGAGAAGATAGCATTTTACCCGCAAGCGCCGCCAGACAAGAAACGACTCTTGTGCAAATACTACAAGAAGATCGGACACACGATTCAAGAATGTTGGAAGCTGAACAGCAACAACAACAACGATAGGGGTACCGCAACTCACCAGCAAGGAGGAGCTCAAGCACGCAATCAAACAGTGTCACCGCCAGCTGTCGCGAGCACGTCGCAAGCTCTGGCGCGCATCTTTGCGAACACAAACGACGAAGGAAAAAGCAAAGTGTTAACCTGCATGGTACGCCATGGACCGCCTCGCATGAATTGACAATACCGCTTCTTCCGCAGCTGGAAAGATATGTTCGCAGATGCACCGCAGGAGCGACCCGAAGGATCAATTGAAGATGAAGAAGAAAATGATTTGACGTACGATGAGCTGACAGTTGGACGGATGGAGTATGACCGGGAGATGCCGCAATGGATCCAGGAGTCGCCACCTACATGCGAGGCATATGACGAAGAAGGATGTTACTATGACTACGAGAACGAGAATGACATGGAACACCACATCACTCCAAAATTCGCCAACCTCGCCAAGAAGAAGAAAGAAGTAAACACGTAGTACCTGGATAGCTGCTGTGGCCAACACATGGTGTCGTCAGAGGTTTTCATCCTCAACAGTGAGCGACTCTTCAATGAAGTCGAGATCACCGTTGCCAACAGTCAAACCATCTACGCCAGAAGCCGTGGACAGATCCAGCTGGAGTCCCAAGACACCGGTTACTGCATCCACCTCAGCGACGTCCTCGTCATGCCCGAGCTCCGGTACAATCTTCTATCCCTCCACCAATTGATGAAGTGCGGAGTCGGCCTGGAAACAACAGAAGACGAGATGCACTTAATCTACAACGACATCTTCATCGGAAAATCGACGAGTGTGGAAGGAGTATTCGTGCTCGACTTCGAGTCGCCCAGAACCTTTGGCGACAATGACCACATTCTCGTCCTTGATCCGCCATGCCACCCATCACCACCAAGATGGAGCCACCCGGAAGAGACTGGCTACCAGCAACCCGGTCTTGACGGGACCTTCCGTGCTCTTGCCGTACCTGTTGCCTCGACCACAAACCCTGTAGACACTGGACCGCAAGCGGTGGAAGAAGGAGAGGAGGGTATGTCAGAGACGGTAGTTGCAACGACCGAAGCAACAACCACGGAAACTACACAGCCAACCTGGCCTACAGGTCCACAACGTGCCGGCTGGAATACCACTGAAGGATGGGACGCCGTAGACATTCGCTGGGTCATGGAAAAAACCGCGCTGGGAGAAGCCGTTGCAGCCGAAACTAGATGGAGAAACGTTTCCGGAGAACCTGCAGCAGAAGAAGCAGGAACAGTGGAGATGCCAGAAGTCACTGAGGAAGCACCAGAAGCAAAGGAAGAGGAGTTTTTAACCGACTACGGGCCTCACCTCATCCACATCACGACGGACGGTAGGACTACCTCCACCTCGAGACAAGGGGAGCAGCGATTGGCGACGCTGACACCGAGGAAGTCACGCTGCCAGAAGACCGGCACCCGCGAATCACAACGACGCCTCCTGAAGAACCATCGGAGCTTCCAATGACGATCGACACCATCACCATCGGCGACACGAGCGGAACATACAATGGCGCAACTCTCCGAGCAGCAGCGGTTCAAGTCACCGTACCAGACGAACCTGTGGAACAAGTTGGGAAGGACACCGCAGCGGCAATATTAGCACGAGAGAAGGAGCTTTATGCGTGAACTAATCGATACTGTGCCAACGGCGACATTTGGCATCAGCGCATGGAGCATCAATCGATAGAAGTGATGAAAAACTACATCAACGCAAATGTCTTCGCGGCAGATGCACTACTGCTGCCAGATGGCAAGGTCCTCAAATCACGGACCGACTTACCCAACTGCACCATCTGTCCGATAGCAACATTGCGTCACACGCCCTTTGCCGAGAAAATCCCTGGAACCGAACGCTACAAACCGCTGGAGAAAGTCTACAGCGACTTTCTAGTGCTTACGGCGAAGGGAGTTGGAAGGGAACAATACACACTCACCTTCATCGATGCCTGCACTCGCTTCCACAAAACGCACCAGACAACATCTTTCAGGGACAGCACAGCCTCGCCAACGATGAGGACGACGTCGACGTGACAGGCGAGCAACCAGCCGAGGACACTGAGGATGAGACACCCTTCGTACCTGCTACGGAGCAGTTCGGAACACCCACACTCATCCAAACAAACACTGATCCTCGCGAGGCAGTACATGCTCAACACGATTATGCAAGTGCAGAAATGCACTCACCCATGGACGAAGACCCAGCTCGCGATTCTTCTCGTGACACAGTTCGCGACATCCATAGCGATGACACGACGTGGTCGAAGTAACCAACGCAGCTGAATCCAACCTCACCGGTCTTCGCATACTCGGACTCGCCGTCGCCGTACGGGGTAACCAGCAGCTGGTCGAACCCACCACCGTCCGTCAGGCCCTCAGCGGGCCCGATGCCGAGAAATGGAGAGCCGCCATGGCCGCAGAAGTC